AAATTCTAATTCATATCTGACGACTGCCTGTAATTGCTTTTAAAATAAATTGAAATTTTTATCGCAAGTTCATTGTAATGAATATAATTATAAAAAACGAAAATTAAAGAGTCGATGTGTGTTATCATATTCTGATACAAATTTTTATTACGTGCATGCATAAACGGTATTTTACGCGTGAGTCGTTTTTCCCCCTTTGACTTTTAACAAAAACAAGAAAGTGCTAAAAATACTTTACTAGAATAAATTATATTGTTATTTATTGACAACTCGAAAAAAACGACATTCTAAAGATATGAAGATGATGTATATCATATATCACTCACCACGGCGAGCAATTTAATGCTCAAAATGAATAATTTAATTTCCAGTATAATAATTTGTGAATAAAAAGTGTTACGCAGCTTCTATCGTTAGTGACTGTTGGCATCTTCATCGCTCTTCAGCAAAACAGCAGCGGCTCACGGCGTGTTTAAATATACGCGCGGCAAAATCGAATTACGCGCTCGGATCCAACCCTCTGGAAGTTCATGCACGGCGATTTATAAGCACTTGGTGAGATATACGCGGGAGCGAGGCGCACAAATGAGCGTCGGAATTGCGTAAAATGTGTATGCTTATAATGCAGGTTATAAGCGCGTCGTAAAATGAAAAAAATTATATCGCTTAGAGAAAAATGTACCCGTGCGTTTACGCATGCATGTGTATCTATGGCTGGTTGGTATACGACGGGACGAAGGTCTCGGTAGACAGCAACACGCGCAGAGGAAAAGTTATAGAGAATAATATATAAGATACACATCGCGCGCGAAAAAAGCCGAGAAAAACTTGAAGAGAGCAAGTACTGCTGCACGCGTAGCAGCAGTCGCGAGATTTGTTAATCCTATGTGTGTATGTGTGCATGTATATACGCTCAACGCAGGTGGCGAAATAAATTCCTCCGCATGAATTCTTGCTCTCGTCCACGCGTTTGTATGCGTATTCGCAAATATAGATGTGTGAGTAAAGGCTTGCACGAGTCGACTGTACAATATCGACGGGTGGACAAGCGATCTGGAGGCACATCTTCCAGAAACACCGAGATGCCGTCCGCTCGCTCATGCCATATGAACATTTACTACGCTTACTCCTTTTTCTATGAGGTCTTTCCAGATTTTTTGCGCTCTCCTCGTGCCGCCACTCGTTGTAGTTGTAGAGCTGTAGTAGAAGTGGTAGTTCGGTTTGGCAGCCTCGAGAGCTGATACGAATTGCGCGATACGCCACGTTTATTTCGTTAGAGAGTCAAGGACGACCGTAACGTATAACGTAGCGAGTATATATGAAATGTGTCTCCGTCTTCCCTATGCGTTCCATAATACATGCTCCACTGCGATTATTAGAAAGCACCTGTCGACTTTTCGAGTCCATGTTGCACTTTTAACTTCAATAGGTCAACTCCAAGTCAATTAGTATTAAATAATCGCAAATCACCACAAACACACCATAACAATAACGGAACTTTTTGTTGTGAAATTCTATGGGTGTATCATGGTAAAAAAATGTTCACTTATTCACTCATATATTTATTGCTTTATCAATTAAGCTCGCATTTTATATATGTTGCTTAGTTCTGATCGACTATTGGGTAACACTGCAGAAAAAAGGCAGGAGCTTGTTGACCCAAATATGCAAACGAAGGGTATTTTCGTGCGTCCCAAGTTCCATTATATTTTATTATGGTATCGAAAAAAAGAATATAATGAAGGATATAATTAACACGTTCGTACCTGTGTCGTTGGCAATACGTGTCCAAAAATAAACGCTATGAATTATGAGATAGAATAATCCTTACCTACGGTACCTCTATATTGGATTGAATAATTTAAAGGATGACTTACGTCAATTCGTGCAGGTCTGACGAAAATGCCAGATTCCCGCGAAAATCACACGCGTTGGACCAAGGTCACGCGTAACATTAGCGCTTGATTGGGTCTACCTGTGCGCAAGCGTCTGCCTCGATCCACGCGTGTGTGTATGCCTGCGTGCGTCCCGCGATCTTTTCCTTTCTCGCAATTTTTGACGCTGCTGTTTATGCTGCTGCTATAAGGGGTCAATAAAAATTCCAATGTACCTAAAATTCAAGGCTGAGAAGCTGTAGGTGAATATCACATACTGCACGTACACCAGCTGAGATCAACGACATTGACTATTTGGTAATACCAACACCTGCGATTGTCGAAATATCCTTTTTTTTTATTTTGTTCATCACATTATTGTAAAAGGTACATTTTTCTGTTCTGTTTTTTTCTTTTCAGGAATATGATTGCAATCATTATTAGATCCTATCTAACAAAAAAATTCATGTAGTTCATCTGCTTCCTTAAATTTTTGTAAATTTGACGCCTCAATGGCGATGGTGAATTTTTTTTATCGCAGTAATGATAAAATAAATAGTAATACAATATTTAAGTGAATTGCATAAAAATTGAACCAGTTAGCATCCAAAAAATAACGCCGAATGTTCGCACGAAGTAAGTGAAAAAACTTGACGTAATAAAACGCAACTAAAGTCGTAGGCAACAGTTTAACAACTTTCTTGATTGATACTGAATGAAATTAATGCACAAAAAAAATGGTTATACTCGATTGTTTGGATGACTGACTTTTTGCTGGTCCACCGCAAACGATTAAAATTATGAATAATCGATGACGAAAAAATTGTTTCTCTGGCCAAATATATATGTTTTTTTACGCTCACGAGAATAAGCGATTTCTTTTGTGACGCAGTTCAAACTTGAAACGTCAATTGATACCTTTTGAAGGTAAATTATTGCGATTCCCTTGAAAATGAAAAAATTTAACATTTTTTTAGGGTTCATTGCACTTCAAAGGGTCATTATTTACCTCTTCGTTGCATTTGTTTCTTAAGGTCAATGATAAACCTTGAAGCTTGATATTTCTTTCGATAAAAAACTTGATTTGAGAACAATGGCTGTATATTGACCCTTTCTGAATCAAATACGGACTTTAACATCATTTGAAAAATTTTTTATTTATACTCATTATTAACTATAAATTCATTTTACGTTACAATTAGACGTACTTGAAAATGAAAAATTTGACCTTGCGAAAACCAACAAAACACCCTTGCGAGGGTCGATTTATAATGAGAAATAAACAATAGTGTACTTTCACTTTGCATCTTAAGGACAAACGAGGCGAACCACGTTAATAAAATACTCTTAAAAATATTTCCTTCTGAGGCCAACCTTGCGTTCACCAAGTTTTGATCCTTTTTTTAACCAGCTCTAACGTATTGTTAACTGGCAAAAAATACTATTCCGATGCTTTCGTCGAACTTAAAATTTAAAAGAAATCGTTATGGGAAACAATTTAAACTTTTTTCTGTTAATCAAGATGGCAAAAACCAATGGAATGACATTTAAAATGTACAAAAATGACAATGCGGAGAGCAAACCTTCGAAAAAGACAATTGTAAATTAATGGAAAAAGCTCATTGAATATTCAATAGAGAATTCAAGTAATCAATCAATGGGTTAAATTAAATTTGAATGAAATATCCGAATCTACTATATACGAAGGTGAAGTTTACAAGATGCACATAGCCTTGGCTCCTCAAATTTCCGTTATGAAGACATTCGAAATTGCACGTAAGACTCATCGCGACACTGTGACGTTAACCAAACGACTCATCCATTGCATAATGAGTGAATTTGTTGCTAGATGTACGCGTAAGTACATCTAACGTTCTCCATTCATCGTTTGCTTTACTTCGGGGAATTACAACTCTGCATAGAAATCATCTTGTCAAAGTTAACTTTTGATGACCTTCCAATGTTTCGTACGTAGTTTTCGTATTGCGCAATTGTTGTGAGTGGTGAATTAAAAAAAAATAAGGCAGTAAAATTGTAGTGTTGTATCAACGTAAGGTGTTTTTTTAACTTTTAACGGAAGAGGAAAAGATTAGGCGTTATTTTTTTCGGCAAGGGTGTCATTAGCTGCACGTAATTGTTCGATACGATGACATAAACGATGTTTTTCTTCTGCTTAATTGACAACAAGTTAAGTGCAACTATTCGCCAGCATAGTTTTTACCACGCGAGCCACCGAAATCAAAAGGCAATCGCTAGAAATGATCACCGCGTTGCGCAATTAGCTCAAAGAGAGCAGCAAAAAGGTCCTGGCTCGTGTATATGATTTATGCCAGTGCTCACTTGCACCCATCCTTTGATGACCTTGACTTTCGTTTTATCCCAACGTGGCAGGATAATTTACCAGACGTTCATGATGTAATTTTTTGGAGAAATACACTTAGCACTTGTTTGTGCCAAATCATGCTTCTTGCTTTAATCGTACTGCATTGCAATGAAATTTTATACCGATTGGAATTAAGAAATCGATAATATTTCGGTGTCAATTAAAAATTCAAAGTATTTCATTCAAATTCATCCAAGCTTGTAGCCTACTTATTTTGTAAGTAAAGTATCATTTTTGAAACAGAGTGTCAAAATAGGGAAAAATGAAGCCATGTTCGTCAATTTGTAACTCGTTACGTTTGGACAATTCGTAAAACTTTTGATACTCTCTATATAGATATTCATGTAATAGTTGAGCGGAAAAATGTTCACATTATTTGAACAAATGAAAATTATATTTTAATTGTTACAAGTTTTTCCTCAAAAAAGTATCATCTGATCCAATAAGGTTTTTTATGTTTGTCTTATTGACCTTGAAACCCCCAAGGGAGCCCTAGTTCTTCAGGTACATTGTCCTTTAATAGCGACTGAACTTTATTTATTTATAAATAATAGTCCCTCTACTTTAAAGGCCTCGTCTGTACGATGGTATCGACTTGTACACAAATACATGCACACACGCATACATACATCCACATACAGAGACCAGATAGCCACGGAGCAGACTTGGCGTGGGGGTCCCAGTCACTTAAAGCTGCGCTACAAGCGCGGCCCCGGCGCACTATTCGTCCAGCATCGTGTGAGAGAGAGCCGCCGCGTAAGTTGTGCGCTTCAACTTGTATACCGCCAGCAGCAGCAGTAGCAGCAGCAGCCGAGTGGACCCATTTCACCGACTCGATCATTCTACATCGGAGGAGCATCGATTGACTCGACTCTTTATATTATATTTTCATTATAATATATTTCAGCAACGCAGTGTGTTTTTTTACCAGTGTGTTGACCTAGTGCGCGAGGAAAATCGTTAGTCGGTAAAGTTGATCGATGTTGCAGTGAAACAAATTTAAAAAAAAAAAAAGGAAAAAAGGAAAAGAAACACAATAATCGAAATTATTGATTCAAGCAGAAAAAAGTGTTCAAGTGTGTGACTTTGATCACTGAAATTCACATTATCGGCTTCTTATATGAGGGAGATCGGTAAGCGCTGAGAGCATCTGAGAAGCACCCGGTTCCACTATCGCCGTTTTCTCTTTCTCTCGGTGTGTGTGAGTGTGCGCTCGTGGCGGAAAGGAGCAGAGCAGTCAGCGCATTGAAGGTAAGGAGATTGTAGCAGCACCAGCAGTGCAGTGAAATTGAGGAGTTTGTGCGTATATCCAGTGCCGTTGGAGAAAGAAAGATGCGAGAGAGTGAAGATGGAGAAAAAGGAGAAGCGCGCCACGGAATGCGAGCTTCCGCTCGTATGTACGCGGAACATGTGTGCGCCTGAGTGCATGCGCTTGAGTGTGTGAGTTGAGCGTATCTGCGTAGCTCCAACCGATTCCCAACAGATTTTTCGTGAAAATTTTGCTTTGACCCGTGTGCTTTTACACTTGGTCCTGTGAGTACGGAACGCTTTAAAGGCCCATTTTCGTTGGCATACTTTCTGCGTTTGTAACATTAAAGTATCGGTACATTTTGTCGTTTTTGATAGTAGAATTTATTTTACTTTATCTGATATAAATTAACTGATGATTTTAACAAAATCAAGCTTTAATAAACGTAGATAGACGAGGTAGACCCTGTAATAAACACCATTTTCTATTTTGTAGGTCAAAAACTACATTTTAATGATCATTTGAAGCAGTAATCTTACTTAATCATGATCTAATTTCACTTTTGCTTACTTTCTTGTTTGCGGTAAAATGCCACCCTGCTCGAGTAATAATTTTTTTCCAATTAACATTCAAACGATTCCAACTCGCAAAACTACTTGCAGTAGACTATACTTGCAACGTTGAAATAGCTCAATTTTTTTTAAGCTAAAACACTTGAATAATAAAGACTACTGCCGTTGCATTCTAATACGTAAAAATGCGCCACGATAAAATATAAAGAAGAAAAATAAGTCTCTTGTATTCGTTTTCATTGACTGCTCGCTTAAATTGCCTAATATGTTTCCATACCATTTAATGATGATATGTGTATAAATATATGCAGCTCTCGGTCATGACAATTTTCTAAAGGCTGTGCTTGCAGAAATACAAACTGCTAACGCCAAGCTTTGCGAAATTCTGCTCAAGCATCGAATGGAAGTTACTTTTAATCGAAAATATCTTGCTACTTTATTTGTTTATTATCTCGCTTTTGTTCATAACTATCGGTGCTAATAAAAAATGACCACAGAGAAAAACATCTGCGGATTTTCATTCAAACGAGTATATTATTTTTCACTTAACGAGAGCTTCGTATGAATCAACAGGTGAATTATTTTTTATTTCAACCGAACGGCAAGTAAATCCGCGAGTTTCGCAAGCTTTCAAACAGGTACTAATATTTAGCACAAGGTTAACGAATTGATGGGCCCCCGTGAGCCCACGTTGGCAGATTTTGTTCTTATTTGCGGCACCACATGAGAATGCAGGCGACCTTGCCCCTTCCTTTACCGCGAGGCACTTCGTAGCGCGTCCTGCTCAGGGTCAAAATTATGAATTTTATTATTCGATAAATTTAATTGCAGGCCCAACATTTTTAATTGATAGGAACTCGAGGATAATCTCGCAAAAATAAACAATTTTGCTCCTCACAAAAATTAGGTCAACTTTTATTAAAGCCTTTGAACCGAAAATTGAGAAATCAGACACTATGATGCAAATGCAAGAAATCTTGGTGTATATATGTATATCGAAACCCTTAAGATGCTGATAAGGTATTTAGCAGTGAACGGACATTATGATGTCAAAATATTCAAGGCATTTTGTTCTCGTGTGCGCCTATCCTAATTCGTTAATCGGCGATAAAATTATTTTACGGGACATTAATTCTGTAATTACATTTACTATAAATGCACTCGCGCACGCACACAACTTATGCACGCACAACTCACAAGTTACGCCAAAAGCATTAAAATTATTTATGCGATGCAAGTATGAGCGTATTGCAAGCTCTAACGCCCAAGTGAATAATCATCAGAAGATCTGAAAAATGCACTTACCATTTTTTGTAAGTCATCCTTGCGGAGGCTACGGTGGTAATCACCTGCAAAGGACAGAATCAGCTGTTACTTTCATTTTCACACAAACAGTTCACAATTAGCTTCAGTTTCAATAACTGCAGGATTATTTGCTCTTCTCACGCTTGCGTTCTGGGTAAACATCGATTACAACAGCCAATTACAACTTGGAGAAGAAAGACACGTTTGCTACAAACTATTGAACCTTTCTTTACACAATTAATCACTACAACTGTGCATTTGCACACATATGAAGCTGCAGCTAAACCACAGAACCTTTGTCCAGCAATCAAATAGCCATCGTGGGCTGTGATTTGCTACTTATATATTATGTCTATTAAATAAACCGACTAGTGAGCGGAAACGGCGGACTTTTCCATTATAATCGTCGTCCTATCGTTGAATAATACGCACAGCGTACATATATAAATGTGTATATGCATATGTACATTTGTGTAGTGACCGCAATCGCTATACATACCGACCGAAAGCGAGAAAAAAGTATATACTCGATCGCAAATATTTAAAAAACTGGTTTTTCAAATGCATATTCTCTATTCGATTTCTAAGTGTTCCAAAGAAAAACCGGATGGTATTCCGATATCTTTGCTATCGAGATCAAATTGCACCTAATGGTCGACCGATTTTTTTCTCAATTTTCCTTTGACACAGACATACATAACCGCGTCACAGGTGTCGATTGGTGTTTTCTAAGGTCAAGGTATTTGAGGTTCGTTTCATTTCCTTTTACGATTAATTTTCACGACGGTTTGTGTGTAAATTAACGAATCGAGCATTGAATATGTGTTTCTAAAGATTTTACGATCTACTCTACAAATCTTTAAAAAATCTACGAATCAATGATTATTCATGAGAGGCACAAAGTGCTGAATCATGAAGAATCATAAAAAAACATTGTTTAAGTAGGGGCTGCTTCGTAACTTTCACTGCAAAAAAAACCAAGTGCTTCGAGTTGCAATATCCTACAACCAACGTATGCTATGTTAAAAATATAGGAGGATGATAGGAAATCATTTGAACTATATGTGTCATGTAAATATGTCACTATATCTCTTTATTCTTTACAATTTGCAACGATGGCTACTGAATATTTGATTGTGATTAATCGTTGTGGTTTCTTTAGAACTCATACTTTTTCTTATTCTCAAACAATAACGTTCAAATTATATAGTTATTTTTGCTACAACATTGTCTACATTTTTCTTTAAAAAAAAAAATAGAGAGAGGAAAGAGAAAAATGTTTCATTATCTTCCAAAATCATCAGAAAATATTTATAACTTCATGCACTTTGTAGATACTTTAACTGAAGCCACCTGTTTTTATAAAGCAATGACCTCGATTAAATTTTATCGAAATATTTACCAACAACAGAGGAAAACCCGACTTTAAATACCTTCGCATCACTCGATTATTAACTCCATAGCTCTGCATACATGCGTGAAAAAAACATATTCGCGGGAATATGAGGTCGGCGAGTTTTGCTATGAACTGAGGGTCATGAGCTTTCATAATTTTTGATGCTGTTGACTTTTACTGATGCATCAACTTTTTCCGGATTTGTAATGAAAAATGAGAAGGAGAAAAGAATCAGCCTTGAAAGACGTTATGCTGACGAACATTTTTTGTAGCTTACAGGCAATCATCTGTCTCCAAAAGTAACCAACGGGTTATCTCGTTGAAATTTTAATTTTTTAGCGTATCGAGTCAATCGTGTTTTTCATCAATTATTATACATTATCTGTGGACTGATTTTGTCGTTTGGAACACGAATTCAGTCGGTATGGAACATGTATAGTGTTCCATACCAACCGTAGTGGACAAAATTAGTCCACAGACAGTGTACATCAAATTTTTGACAACGTATAATTCAAATTGCTTAACCTAGAAGAAATGATAACGAAAGTAACTTTTACTATAACTGTTTGCATTAATCGTGGGCTTTTAATTTTACTGATAATACATCATTAATGTTAGTATTTAACATTAAAAAATGATATAAAAATACGTTTTACTCGATAAAAGTAGTACAATAACTTTTCCAAAAGACTTTTTGAATTAAGTTTCAAAAATTATGTCTTCACTCAATTTGTAACAAAGAATGAAATAAAAAATTAATAGCCAAAACTAATATTTCGAAATATATCGTAACAGAAAGTATAAGAAATAAATAAAATAAACACACTTGCAAGTACATATAATAATATTTAGAATAAAGGTCAAATACATGACAAGATACGCTAGATTAATACTGTCTTGCTTAGAAAAGCCAATCGGAAGGAGGCCGAGAAGCGTGTCCCGTTTCACGCGCTGCTTTGAAAGTAAACGTCCTGGCGCTGCACCATCATCACCGCTCGAGAGAAATTCTTCGATGCTCGCCGCGAAACTATAAGCGCATAAATATTGAAAAGTCCGCTGAATTTGCATTCTTTTCTCTCTCTTTATTTCAATCTGTCTCTCTTTTTTCGGTTTGTACAACATTTTTTTAATAACATCAATGAAAAGGCATTGCTCGTTGGTATTTCCCGTAAATTATCTTTTGCCTCACTTTTTACAAAATTTGAGAAAAAAACATCATCGTGCGTAAATTCAAATATAAGAATGACTTGTAGTTTTTATATCCTTGCACGCAATGAAAAGATGCTCTAACATTTCTTCACATTTCTTCGATGTTATAAATTACATTATAAACGTTGTAGATACATTGTGATAATCTTAGGAAATAATTTTTTAATTTTCATTTAAACAATTGTATTTATTGAAAAGAAGTCTATTAATTAAAGATGTTGGGAAATATTTTTTTCCTTTTGTGTTTGAATAAGTACATATCGTGATGAGTGCGAAAAGAGATATTCAATGCATTCTTCTAGCGAAATTGAAAGTGAAGTTGCAGGCACCAGCTCGCGTAAGTACGGTAACGCGTAAGTCGCTGACGGCGTTTAGTGTCCAGGCGATGATCTCTGAATGTCTCGCATATTATGCACAAGTGACCAAACTATTAGACGTATGGATACTTTGAAGTATGTAATGGGATGCTATTCTAAGCTCATACATTTTTTTAATTATTTTCAGTGTTAGCCAAGTTTTT